CCCAAACTCTGCAGCGAACAGTAGAAAGTGAAGGTGACAGCAAATCGAACCACTTCAGACTCCACCCCCCATGAAGCATCTCCAGCCGCAAAAGAGACCAAGACAAGCCCAAAATGCTCGAGGTCAGCTGCACGGGCAGACACCGATCCCACTTGTGCTGGACACTTTCGGTGAGAGATGCCTGGAGGCTTAAACCCCGCTCCCTCGAAGTTTCTGTTCCATAGTGCTCTTCTCATCGCGAAACTTGATTTGGGATGTTCGGCCTTTTGCAGAAAAGTCGTATAGTATCCTAACCGTACGGTAAGGTGCCTTCCGACATGGGTAGGGGAAATGCCTCCAGGTAAGGGTAAGCCGGGGTTTGCCAAGTGCGGGCCAGGGCTGCGCGACATGAATCTGAGTCTCTGATAGGGGCATAGCGATCAGAAACGGTTTCTGTAGAGTTCTTGCGCGGTCATGTATTCTGGCCTACTCGCTTTGTAGCGTGAGCACGCTAACTAATTGGGTACGGGCGCATAGGGCGCCCTGTTGCTTTCTGAAACCTAGGTTTGAGCGTGATTTGGGGGAAAATCATGGTAGTTGGAAATCCAGGAATCTATTACATTAAGGAGAAGATTTCACTCTTTGTTACACAGTGTTTCGGTTTCTGAGATTGAGCATGCTGACCCGGAGTCCGCAACCCGTAGAGAAACACAACCGCTGTAAATACCGGTGTTTTGGGCACGGTCGCCAAAGGCATGGACGCTTGTGGCAGCTTTCCTTGTTCCACATCCTTGCGCAGTATGTTTTAAAAGACGCAAAACACTGTAAATACCAGTGTTTTCGGCATGGACACAACATGACTGACGTTCTTATACTAACCCTCGCCCCCCAGCCGAACAACACCTGAAAAAACTTTCAAAAGCCTTAACAACTTGAAACACGCAGGGCATCCCTCGCGCCCGCCATCAACTAATTATGCCCCACCAAATCTGTTGAACTATTGTGAGTCCTTAAGTTGCTAAACCCCCAACCATCGAACAGTGAAATCGCTTGCTTATGACCTGGATTACAGAAAACCTCTCCCCCATTCACATTGGTATCATGTTGTGATTGCTGCGCTTACTGGGGCGCGGGAAAGTCACATGAGATCCCTTCATCTTCCTGATCAAAGGGGAGGACGTTGTAGAGGCTTGTATGGCTCCTATAAATGGAGGGTTCCCAACCATTTGGCATTTGGGGTCTATTTTTTGTGCAGGTTTCTAAAACATCGGGATCTATATACATATCTGGGCCCCCTATTCATGGACCATGGAAGACCCAAATAGCTCGAGAGACAGAAGCCGGAGAAGAAACGGATAAACAACATTAGACAAAATTGTAATCCTTTTCCGTTGTGATACACATTGCATGGAGAGCTTCCTAGCAGAATTCTCGGAAATGCTTTCTGGTTTTGGATTTCATGGCGACATGTAGGAGCAATCCTGAGTGACTATTAAGAGGGTATCCTAAAGGCAGCGTACGGCGTAAGGCACGTTCTGCTTGCGGGACCCGAAACAACCAATGGAATTTCAAGCAAGTTAAAATGGCTTCCCCTCAGTTTCTGGTCGCGGCGTGCTGCTTGCGCTTAGCAACGAGCCTGCGTGTCCCCAGCTGATGCTCCAACTTCCGTTCATGCTGCATATTGTCAGGAAGTATTCTGATTGTGAATAGGAGGTCCTGAAAGTATGTCATTTTGAAAGTAATAATAGTAATAATACAATAACCGTAATCATCGTAATTTTATAATTTTGTTATCTCCTAGCAATGTCGAGGATGCAGGTCACACCATGTTCTGGCTGGGCATTGCACGCAGTCCTGTGTAGTAGTCCTCAAGCTTAATCGCTTCCCCTCATAATAAACGACGTCCCCCCCCCTCCCCCCCCCGTAATGATGAATAATCCGGGTGCTCAGAAATTATTTATTATTAGGGGGGCATATTTATTGAAAGGATTTAGTAGGGCCGCCTTTAAAATCCTTGTAAAATCAATTAAGATCGAATTAAGATCCCATTAGAATCAATTGGAATTTAATGAAAATTCCTTTTAAAACCAACTAAAATCGAATTAAAATCCCATTAGAATCAATTGAAATTTAATTAACATTCCTTTTAAAATCAATTAAAACCAATTAAAATCGAATTAAAATCCCGTTAGAATCATTTGAGAATTAATTAAAATTCCTTGTAAAATCAATTAAAATCGAATTAAAATCCCGTTAGAATCAATTGAGATTTAATTAAAATTCCTTGTAAAATCAATTAAACTCGAATTAAAATCCCGTTAGAATCATTTGAGATTTAATTAAATTTCCTTGGAAAATCAATTAAAATCGAAATAAAATCCCATTAGAATCAATTGAAATTTAATTAACATTCCTTTTAAAACTAATTAATAAACGAATCAAAATCCCGTTTCAATCAATTGAAATTTAGTTAACATTCCTGTAAAAATCAATTAAAATCGAATTAAAATCCCGCTAGAATCAATTGAAATCTACTTAAAAATCCTTTTAAAATCAATTAAAATCGAATTACAATCCCGTTAGAATCATTTGAGATTTAATTAAAATTCCTTTTAAAACCAACTAAA